CGCAACTATCTGTTGATTGGCTAGTTCGATTTTACCGCACTGATCGTTACTGTACGGCAGCGCTAATCATGCTCTTCACCATATGGATGAGTTTCTCGGTTGGCTGGTCAAAGTGCATGAGTGCAACCTAAGGAACTTTGCTCAATCTTTAATTATTCCAAACAAGTTTCAACAATGCAAGATGTAACCTACCATTTACTCAGGAAATTGTCATTATTCAAAACGAAATATTTCCGTTCACACATAGAAATGTGGCAAATAAAATTAACTCGTCCAAACTCTGGAGATGGTAGTGGCTTAATGGTAGACTATGTGCAGAGCATTTTGATTGGTCGAACCGAGGCTTCTGACGTGCTCCGCATGCAACCTGAAAAATAACAATAGGTTTCTTGTAGGTTGATGCAGATTGCTGCCCCTAGTTTTTTCCATCCACTGACAACTTAAATCTGGACGTAGTATTTTACTGGGATCACGAATCTCGTGACACAAAAGCCCTTTTCGATCCCACCAATAGCAACGCAGCATTAGCAGTGTTTTTGTGTAGATTTGGTTTGCACCTAAGCAAGATGGGCTGTCCGTGTTAGGGACATGTACTTTCATCCCTCAGGACATCGTGCACTTGATTATTTGCATTCGATTCACGGAATCGCCAGTCAGCGAGTTTTCGAACTAATCCAACGCAGTGCATGTGGTTCAATTTAAAATTCTCCAAACGATTCTTTCGATCAAAAACTGTAGGATTGGAATCTCACCGACACACTTGTTCTCTTAGTGCCCTAGTCCTATTATTGTGATGGTACAATCCACGCTCGTTTTGAAACTCCCGGAAAAATTTTGAGATTTTTGTTGTACGTCCCAGAGTTCTACGACTACAAGAATCATTTGATGTCGTCTTGGTTGATTTGTGTGAACTGTGGAGAAGGCGAACACGGCGTACTTCGCATTTGATAGATTTTATCCTCTTAATCGACTGTCTGGGCTTGCCAGTTAGAATTAACGATTCCAGCCAAACTCGAGTTAACAGCTTTTAAAAGATCTTTACCTGAAGTACGAGAGCATCTTACTATAAACACTTGACAGGCTAATGAATTTTGGACATCTTGTTGATGAGCCCTCCATGTGGTCTTGAACCACGCCGGGGCCACTGATGTTAACCCTGGTCCGTTTACGCCAGAGCTCAACCACGTTGGTGTCGTGGGTGACATTTGCATGTGTTTTTATACCTCAGATGTGTGAGTCATACGTGTGCTAACATCGAGACCTAGGTGTGAGTATAATCCAGGATAAATATTCGAGCCAATGAGGGGGGAGTTGATGAATACGCCCGGCTAGCGACATGCCGCGAAAAGGGGGACCCTGTGTCGGAGGCCGGAGTGACGGGATTAGCAAGTGTGAACCAAAGCGATTCACAGTAATCTAACCAACGGTCATTTTGGAGGTGCTACAGCAGTTTTACTCCAACCATCCCTATGTCAAAATCGATTTAAGTAACAAAATACTTAATCATTATCTTTAAAAACTCATTCATCAGTATTCTCGATTGTACTTCAAAATCCCAATTTGCTCTCTAACACACCATGATTTTCCTGTTGATATAACATGCTTTCCTGCGGATTTATATTGGTAAATTGGTTCTCATTCGTCAGTAGTCATTGTTCAACCTATATAGGCTTCGCGTTCTGTGCTGCTGCACCTCCCTTGAGTACATAACTTCAGTACCCTGGCGCGACACAAAGACACATCTGAAAAGTTTGGTATTGGCTGGCCATCGTCCCCTTCGACAGATGGCATGGCCTTGTCGGGTTGTTTTGGGTTTGTCGGTGTTCCATTCGGCTTTCCTCCATCATCTGACAGATGTTGTTTTGGAAGCAGACCTTTTGGCACTGCTTATTGAACCAACCAACCACAGTAGTTGGGCATCAACCAGTAAGTGGTAAATTAGCGCTGACCTTTCGCATATCTTCAAACGGCATTGATGGAGGACGATTTCGTTGCCCTTTCGTGTACATCGAGCAGACAAGTAGCCACTTCTGATGTGTCTTCGTCCTGGCCTATTCTGTCCGTGGACCATCTTGTTCGGCAGCATTACTGGTCCAGGGCGCTAACAACAGGACAATCCCTCTGCTAATCGACCATGAACAAGGAGATATCCCCACTGTAAAGTACTTTAAGACAGGACTCTCTTAATAATATCTTAAGGAGTATGTTGGGGTTATGAATGGGTATGGAAATAGGATTTACACTTGGCCAGAACCTTTTTCAGAGTATCAAAGCAATAAAGGCTACGCACAAAATATCTCCTCCACGTTAATGAGTTATGCTAATTGCTTAAATTGATTGGTGGTTGCAATGAGCCAACATTTCATGACGTTGAGCGACTTTCAGGCTGTGAATAGGTGGGTTGAAGCCTCAATGGAACAAAACCATGTCGATCGCAGAAGTCATCAATTCACAAAGTAATCACTTGTCTAATGCCACGAACCGAATCCATGGAAGGAGCTTCCTACAGCACAGACAAGCCAGATGCTTTTTAGCACGATTTGTGATGAAAAAATGGAGCTAGAATGGGTATATGGTACATAGTCCGACCACACACTTCGTCCAATTTATTAGTGTTCAAATTTACCTAACCAATTACACACCTAGAGAGATCTATTTGAATTTCCTAAAGGTGAAGATGAACTAAGAGATTAGCTAGATTCTAATAGCGCTTGAGGAATTAATTGAACACTTCTTCACATCTGTTTACGAGTATTTAGAGAATTTGATAAAATATGGTACCTCAAGGAGTTCTCCTTATTTCACCCTACCCAGATCTAACTCCGAATGATAATTTGCCCTCAAGGTCATGTTGCCGACGCGTGCAGTTGGAAATTCAGGCGTTCTGAGTTAGACAAACGGGATTCCGGGGGTGCTTCTCTTTCTCGGGAATTTGATTTTTTTCTTTTAACGAAAAAGATGAACTCAGAACAGTCCTCAAATCACAAGCTACTTCTCTGGTTGACTTTCACTGAAATTTTATGAGGAAGATGATTCAAATGGCCGTCATTCCACAAAACGCGGTGAGCAATTGACAGTTGGGAAACCAATCGCCTTGTTGTCATTTCCGCTTAAGCATCATTCCCAACGCTAACCTCGGAATAGACAACTGCTCTTCGCATTGCTTAAAACTACGCCATAAAAACTGCACGTTCCACTTTAAGATTTTTGTGCAATGTTACTTTGTCCTCTAAAACGGTAATAGCAGACAGCAGTTTGCGGAAATCAAGCTTCTGATTGGTTGATTTAAATGATGGCGCCGAAACAAATAAGCCCGCAATTTGTCCGGTAATTAGGGCGGGAAGTTTTCTAACCAATGCCATCAGACGCACCAAGGGCCCATGCTTTCATGACTGTTATTTGACCTTGACTACGAGGTACTTACTTCACTCTATACCAAAAATGGTAGTTTTCCAGTGCAAAATCGGGGTCACGGGACATTTTAAAGAAGCAAAGCTAGTCACTATTGAAAATCCGCTTCCGCGTCCAGTGCAATTTAGTTTTTTTCCAAGAACAGTTAACCATTAGGGAATAAAATCATGTTTTTGCGTGTTGAAAGTCACGATTCGCCTTACCTTGTAAATCAGCTAGAAGACAGTCATTGGATGAGTTCCGTAAAGTGGTTCAACAAAATTTGTACCTCTCTGTTAACATCAAACAAAGTGGGAATGAGCTGACAATTTTTGAGCTAATTGCACAATTATTTGCACGTTGAACGTGTAGCTGCTGTGTCACCAGACCTCAGTTTCCTTTCGAAGTTCAGCCTTTTGTGAAAAAGTAACCCTCATTCACACTAAACCAAGTACGTTGCAGTAACAAGTGGTGTTCACGCTACTCGCTCTAAAACCTGGGCCGATATCAGCTTACAACCGCCTTTGACAAGACGCTTTGCTTTGTGGTCGGTAAAGTCGTATTATTTTTAGACTGAATTACAACTGCGCGTGGAGGGTGTTTATTGTTTACAATAGTTGCGTATGTTGCCTCTTGATGGACTTATTACGAAATTCACCACGAGTTTGGGTGTGCCTGTAACAGCATAAATGGTCCAACGGTAATTGAGGTGCATACTGAACATATGATGCCATTTGCGGCATCAACTCCGTATATCCCAGTGAGATACTAGATTGCATAGCTAATCATCATTGGACTTAATGGTTTAAAAGTGCAAATTTTAATCTTGGCGACTTGTCGAAATCAGCATGATCTGTTGATTTCAATAAGGATTGTGTGTTGGCTAAGCCTGGTGTTGCTCCCAAGCACACAACGGTGCAACGGTGTTCTATAAATGGAAACAAAGTGCAAAGAGAAGGAATGTGGATTCTACATTGACTTTCAGCTTGGCAGAAACAAATTCGGTGGCGATGGATCCACTTCTTCAACAATAAGTCATATTGGGGAAAAAAACCGACGTTACCATTAGGGTAGCCATCTTGCTCTCCAGCACCCAATAGGATTTGGTCTTTTCTGATTGGTGGGACGGAACTATAGAAGTTAATTTTTAATGAACTCTGCGAGGCTTTAAACGTTGTCCACTAGTAAAATTACACAAGGCTACAGAGTGCCATATCGAACGAGGTAGGCATTGAACTCTTGCCTCACACACAATTTTCTCCAGTTGTTCGCGATTCGGAAAACTTTTCATGCCAATGAAGAATCCTACCCTGAGAGGCAATGTGTGGATTAATGTGCTCACAAACCAAAACCCATCACTGGTTTTAGTTTCGACTGTTAGAGCATAAATTTACCTAACAATAAGCATAGTAAACAGTTTGTATGCGTATGCGGCATTTCTGAACCCAACCAATCAAGTCCAATGGTGTGTGCTTATATTATGTGAGTTTATTCTAGGTCAAGGAAAATGGCTAACAACGGCTGCGAGAGCGAAATAGAGAGGAGTTAGGTTAAAACGTCGAAGAAGAAGATGGATCAGTTGAGGGGCGACTACGGTTGCGCAACCGTCGCTACCACTTGATGCCGTCGGCTGTCTGAGTGAGAGTTCTGGCGCTCTCAAGCAGTTTCTTCTTCTCCTCGTCTGTGAGACTTAAGTTGACCACTGACGTGACGCCGTTCGAATTCACAACACATGGCATGCTCAGGAAGACGTCCTCTGCGATTCCGTACAGTCCCTGAAACGATTTTGCAAAAAAAGGAATGAAATCACATCATTTTTTAAAAATATACACAAATAATTAGACTAAAAGTGAAAAAAAAATGGAGAATAGATCGTGTAAATCCACGACACCTCTTTTGAAAAGACGAAGAGATCTAAAATCAGTCTGATAATGGCTTTATTTGGTGTATTCTTTGGTCTCCAATTTCGGAATTTGGAAAACGACTAATGTGGCGTTGAATGCATACCAGACAATCAGAGAAGGATTTGGAACTGCTGAAATCCCCTTGCAAAGATCCTAACCACGACAGGAGCATTTCAGACGTTGACTAGATCAAGTGTGTTCCACGAAAGGGTCAGTCGATGTTATTGCCAAGAACCAGCAAATTATGAGGGATGTTCGGTATGCAAAAGTTACGTAAATGCAATAAGTGTAAAGCTAATCACAACCACCTACAGGAATTTACGAAACTGCACCTTGTAAATAAACAATAGTAGATTGTGCAATTCACCTCTGTAATCTGACATTTGTTGATTGAAGCCAGTGATAAACATTGCTTCGTGGTCGTTTACGGCTATGACTTATAAATATGCAAAACACAGGGCAAAACCCAATTCAATTGGCCCGCCCAATGAACGATTGATTCCTCATTACTACAGATCATCTACGCACCGTAACCAAGACTCAATAAATTGGCCACCCCTATGTGATTGTGACTGCAATTTGCTGGTTTCTCGGCCTGGAGTATGCAACTCCACCAAAACCGATGCGACAACCTTGAAAACCTCCATTGGTACTTTCTTTGAGTGAAAATCGAGATTAAATGCGAAGAATTTAAGCAAAAAGAATAATCACCTTGACGTTTGTTGTCACGGGAATCACGAGGTTGCTGTCGTGAAGAAGAGCACCACAGAGGTTGGCACAGCAAAGCCCAATTGCCCATGAAGTGTAGCCCTTCAATCGAATAATTTCGTAGGCACTAAAATGACAAGTAATTAAATTAATTAAATCAACTGAGAGCCTTTTTCACATGTATGCCGAATAAGCGATTACATTAAAAAGCCACACTTTTATCAGGAAGTGGCTAATCAAGATACTTGTACGTCTACAGTGAGGCTACTGCAGTAACTAACCGAAAATGTAGAGGCAGATAACAGACAAAGAACTGAGTGGACATGGTGAAACCACTTACCTTTCAATGACGTCCTTATGTATCTGAGAAAATCCATTAGGATCATCTGGTTCGCCGAACTTAGGATAGACGCTCTCTAAGTTGACACCGCCAACTGAAACGCGACTCCAAACAGCAACTAAAACGAAACTAACCGTGAACCCACTCGTTGATGCTTGAGGGACTTTATGTAGAGTAACTTACCACTGGAATCACCATGTTCGCCGATGATGTAACCGTGTATAGAACTAGCAGAGAGATCCAGTTTTTTCCCGAGCATGTGCCTAAAGCGGGCCGAGTCCAAAATAGTCCCAGAACCAATGACTCGGTTCCTAGGCAAGCCGCTCAGCTTCCACGTGACGTAAGTCAAAATGTCAACTAGAATTTTGGCAAGGTTAGTGATTTTGAAAATATTGCCTATATCAATAGCACGAGAATGACAAACCTGGATTCGAAACAACAACGATAATACAGTTGGGGCTGTACTTCACCACCTCCGGAATAATAGCTAAAAGAAATTGTAAATATATTCAATGCGTAGATGAGAAATAGTTGAAGAAAAAAACTCCTGAAACGGGAACATACTTTTGAAGATGTCTACGTTGCGTTGAACAAGGTTGAGTCGAGACTCGCCGACCACTTGCCGGGCACCGGCGGCAATGAAAACAACGTCGGAGTGACTCGTGTAACTATAGTCTAATGATTTCATGAAACTGGGTGTTCCGAATTACCTTTGCCACCAATAACGGTACAAGAGCTCAAGTATTGCGAGCCATGCTGCATATCAAGCACTTCTCCCTTAACCTTATCTTCGTTAAAATCGATGAGAGCCAACGTATTAGCAAGTCCCTAAAAAAAGCAAAATCTATGACAAAATATGGGGAAATACCTTAGTCATAATCGAAAACCCAATGGCCATCCCGACAGACCCAACGCCAACGATCGAAACCTTTGTCCTCGGCTTTGTGTGTACATTAACTGCTAAGGGAACGAGAATAGAATTTTCGGCCATGGCTGACACCAAACTTTCACAAAAGACCACAACTGACTGAAAGCGACTACATTTCAAGGTTGGAAAATGAATGTCCTGTTGATATAATAAAACAAATGCCTGGGGTGTTAAATAATTTGAAGACATTTGGCCTTTTTTGCTTCTTAAAATATTTTTTTAAACTATCACATAAAATACAATTTTTTTAATGAAATATGCAATATACACACTCATTTGCAATTAGGAAAAGTTTAATATATTCATTAATTTTTTGAGAATTTTATGCCATGTTTCATCTTTATTTTAAATGAAGCTTGTAATAAACTATAAAGGTTGCGTTTTTGAATTTATTTCTTGATTTGTTTGGTTTCGAAGTATGACCTTAAGTAATAACGCCCTCAATTATTTGGAACTGCAAAATCTAGACCATAATTTATCGCCTAGCAAAAAAAGGTTTTAAACTTATAAATTTCCAAGAACATCGGCGAATTAAAATTCTATCTTTAAACGTTCCAGTATCGACGCTAATATATGCCGTGTTTCAGCTTCTAGTGTTAAAAATGTTCTTGATTGTGTATTGCCACAAATGAAGACATTACTTATATTAATGCAAGTTATTCGAATCGATCAAGTTAATATGGTGCGTACGTTTTTCATTAATAAATAAGTGTGCACGTGTAAATGCAAATGCCTTGTTGTAGACCCCAGCATGTGGTCTTGTACCACGCCGGGGCCACTCAGTTGCATTTGGCCCGGTTACGCTTCTCTGCTTACCGCGGTGAGGAAAAAGACCCGAGAGGACGTTGACACAGCCGTCGTTGTGTCGTGTGTATTTTTAGCTTTGGTTTGTGAAACAGTATGAGTCATAAATGTGCTAATATCGAGGCCTAGGTGCTGTGAATATCCAGGATGAACTTTCGCGGTAATGAAGCGCAAGTTGAGGTTATTCGCAGCTGATGACATACTGTGAAAAAGGGGACCCTGTGTCAGAGGATGAAGTAACCAGTATAACGTGCGAATCTACGCAATTCACATCAACCTCATATATATGATTTTAAAATAGTAATGACATTTTTTTGTTCTCCTTGCAAAGTCTTTGCAATTTCGGAGAGAGTAATTTTACTTATAAAAAATAATTTGCCCATTATGCACCAACGCGATGTGGCCCTGCAATGCTTTATTTTCGTAGGGCAATTTCAAGATTTTGGACTAAAATTTCACTTCCTCCATTAATTCGCGTCAACAGGAAAATTAAACTTGATGTATTTCATTGGACGATTTAATTATTGTAAAAGTTTAATCCGCGTCATAATTCTATGTCAATGTTTGCTTTCGAATGCTTAATTTGAATGTTTAGTTTTTGAACATTCTCATTACTGAAGTAAAATTTATGAGCTCTGATTTATCATGCATATTTGATTTTTTGTTTACATTTTGATGTTACCCTAACGAACCAACCTATATAAATTTATAACATGTAAATGAATATGTTTCACAAATTTCGCCTTTATTTAAAATCGAAATCAAACATGTAATTTTCACTTTCCGGTAAAAACATCTGCTTTTAACATTTTCGGGGAATGTAATTTGAATTTATTTGGTTATGTTTGCCTTGAAGTCATTGTTCCTTTTTTTAAAATTAATTGGCGTAAATTTGCACCATGTGGCATTTCTATATTTGGCTCATGTTTTTGTTATGCAGCTAGGATTCGCTACACAAAATAAATTTGATTTGCTTCAATTCGTGCCCCAAAAAATTTGAATGGATTCGGTACCTTTTGCTCAAAGATTACGTTGGTAGACCGATTTGTCGGATTTTTAATCTGCGAAGTACGAAATTTATGTGTTGTTGCTCTTTTGGATTAGTAAGGGGTCTCATAAAGTTGATTTTTATTGCAGTAGCCGTCTTCAATTAGTAAAGCGTCTTTGTGAAAGCTACTTACCTACCCAGTGAAAATTACGAATTATTTCGCGTGTATGTAATATCCTTATAATTGGAGTATTTGTTGATGGCTTCGTTTGTTCCATCACATTTGCTGCCAAAATTTATCTGATATTCGGGGCTGGCGTGCAGACTTGGTTGAAAATCCCGTTATTGCTTTTTGGGAAAGTGAAACGCATGAATTTATGACGTGACTAATGCACTTCTTCGTGTTACTTTAAGGTTTCGCGTAGAGGTGCCTCAATAACTATATCGCGGACTTATGCACCAGCTATTTCTTTAGGTCATGTGGATTTTATTTTCTTGTTTGAATAAAGGTTAGATGATTGGTCTACGCGATGGAGGTATGAACAGGGCATCCACGGTTGTTCTCCGTTTGCGGGCTCGGTATTTTTAAAAGTTTTATTCCTTCACTTTTAGATCTCCAAACATCAAAAATTTTTACGCAGCTTCATTTTAATGACTTGGTTTGCAGAGGTGACTTTAACGTCCCCCTTTACCTTCCAATATTTGCGATTATTGCAGTTTTGTAAGCTAAACAGTTTTTATCAACATGCCATTTAGCTTGACATCGTATTTTTAAATTAAACTCATTCCATAGACCTTGGAACCAACTACGTAACGTACCGTAATGTAATCATTAATTTTACCACAATAGTCCGTGAAACACGTAACAGTGAACACTTTTAATAGTTTCGACAATAAGAAAACAGTTTACTTTTGGTGAACAAAACAAGCGTTTTTCCCCTTTATTCTGTAAAAATATTGTCGATGATAACCAATAACGTCATCCTGTGATGATAAGTGCGTCAGCATAAGATATTTAAAAAAAAATATGAAAATATTACAAAATTCATGTGTAGATCACTCTAATAAGTTCTCTTAAGGCACCTAATCTAAATGTGATTTAAATCGTCCAGTTTGGTTGAAGACGATTAAATGGTTTGCGTGCAAGGAGAGGCTTCCATTAACAGATCAAAGCCCTTTGGTTACTTAAAACCCACTTTAAAAATGCATCCTAATTATTTATTTTCAAAGAATGAATGGAAAAACCGCTACAATGAACAGTCGCTAGGGTATGTAACAAACGCTCAAATATTGTCGCCATCTTCGTGTTGACACTCTCCATTTCAGTTTGTCAACACCGCAAAAAAAATTTCAGAACTTCTATGTTTTGTGTAATCCTTGTTTAAAAGGAGCGACGCGGAGGAATTAAATTTGTATGAAATATTCAAAATAACCAAGGTTGGAGTACAGAGGATTACCAAAATAACCCTGTTTACTTCCCCAGGGGACCAATCACAGATTAACGACAATGTTTAAGCCATCATGGCTTCGATCATGGTGTTGCCCCCAAACAGCCAATCAAATTCGGGAGTTTCCGGACACACTGGAGACGTAGTAGTAGCTCAATCAACTACTTTTAACTTCTACTCACACCACACTTGAAGAGATCGCCCTAGTGG